TGAGGCATAGTCAAAACTCCTAGTATCCCCCTTAATTGGCCCTATATTAGTTCCCTATATAAGTCCCTATATAGCCTTCTTTAAGGAGTTTAGACAAAAAATCATATACGGAGTATGTAGGGAATACATGGGGATTTCATCCCACCAGAATGGAAAATCCAATGGAAAAGAAAAGGGAAACAAACTGGAACATAGGGGTTATAGAGTGACCCGACAGTGGAGAACCGAATGGAAGAAAAGTGATGACACTGGATTTTAGGGTCTATACTGGGGTCCCAAAATTGTAAACTCCGATTTAGCAATTCCTGCTTAGAACACTGACCCTAAACCCTCAACCCTAAACCTTAAACCCTAAACCCTGAACCCTAAACAGGTCCTAAGATCCTGGCCAATCTTGCCCCAGTGCTCTTTCACGGCCAGCAGGAACTTTCGATTGAAAACCTTGCCAGCTTCACTCTTTGCACGATTGCCAGCACAGACGCGCACAAGGACCATCAGTCTCCCCCTCATAATACACCCCGCCATGTAGTACCATTGCATATGAGCTACCGTGAAAATTTCCCCATATAATTAGTGGACATGCGTTCCTGGTGAGGGACTATATTCAGGGCTAGACCAAACGACAAGAGGGACCCTATGTCCACCCTTAAGGGTCCCTCGGTATCCCTAATATTGACAATAGGTCATATGAAGTTGAATATTCATTATGAGGGTGGGCAGGCGGGGGGTTTCTAAGTAGGAGGAGGTGAGTAGGGGCTTTCTCAAAATCAGGAGTACGTTTTGGGAACCCCTCAAAAAGTAGTATAGCATTTTGGGGTCAATGTTGGGGTCCCCCTAAACCCTAAACCCTAAATCCCTAAACCCAAAACCCTAAATCCCTAAACCCCTAAACCCAAAACCCAAAATCCCTAAACCCTAAACCCAAAACCCTAAATCCCTAAACCCCAAACCCCTAAATCCTAAACCCTAAACCCCTAAAAACCCCTCAGGAGGAAATGATTACTCAGCCAT